CCCACCATCCACACTACATTCTCTGACAGCTCTCCTCCCCATTCACACTACATTCTCTGACAGCTCTCCCTCCACCATCCACACTACATTCTCTGACAGCTCTCCTCCACCATCCACACTACATTCTCTGACAGCTCTCCCCCACCATCCATACTACATTTCCCGCACTCTGAACATGAATCAGGACGCTCACCCTTGCCCCTTCTCTGGTGTATAGGAAGGTCTAGTTTCTGAATGAAACAATTACCACACTCAGGAGAGAAAATAAGAAAGATGCTCATATTTGATTTTTTTTTAATAAAATAATTTCCTTACAAACATTTAAAAAGAGTATTAGCCCGTATGAATCTTCTGGTGTCTTTTAAGTGCTTTTCTATAACCAAAACTTTGCCCGCACTGTGAACATGAAAAAGGACGCTCACCCGTATGTATGCTCTGATGTTCAAGTAGTGATCTCTTCTCAGTAAAACATTTCCCACAATCTGAACACGAATACGGACGCTCACCAGTGTGAATCCTCTGGTGTTTAAAAAGGTCTCCTTTCCGATGGAAACATTTCCCGCACTCCGAACATGAAAAAGGACGCTCCCCTGTGTGAATTCTCTGGTGCGTATGAAGTACTCTTTTTTCTGTGAAACTTTTCCCGCATTCTAAACATGAGTAGGGTCGCTCACCTGTGTGAGTTCTCTGGTGTATAAGAAGTTTTCCTTTTTGGACAAAGCATTTCCCGCACTCTGAACACGAGAAAGGACGCTCGTTGGTGTGAATTCTCATATGTGCAAGATAGTTCCCTTTCTGAAGGAAACACTTCCCGCACTCTGAACATGAATAGGGACGCTCAGCCATGTGAATTATGTGGTGTCTAGTAAATGATCTGCTTTTAGTGAAAGTCTTCCCGCACACTTTACATGACATTGAACTTTGTCCTGTGTGATCCCCTTTATGGCCTGAAGAAGATTCCTTGGGATTAGTTGGATCTGTACTGTGAGATCCCAGATGGATATTTGGAGTAAGAGTATGTGATTGACCAGAAGATTCCCCAGGTTTAGAGGGATCCATTGATCTCTCCACATGGGACTGTCGGTGCTGTATAGTGGCAGTAGAGGGATTCACTCCTGGAGAATGTCGTGTGAGGACATTATAATCTGTGGTCAGAATCAGACACCCAGCCAACGTATTCCAGACATAGAGTCCACCTGCTGGAGAAACATTTCAAAAAAGTTATAAGAACTCTACATGTTCTGCAATTAGAAGTCACATGATGAGTCCTGGTATGGAAATTGTACATTATATTGAGGAATGGAGATGGAACTTCATATGGTGTACAGTATCTCCTCCTCATGTGTTGGTCACATGACGTTATATTGAGGAATGGAGATGGAGCTTCATATGGTGTACAGTATCTCCTCCTCATTTGTTGGTCACATGACGTTATATTGAGGAATGGAGATGGACCTTCATATGGTGTACAGTATCTCCTCCTCATTTGTTGGTCACATGACGTTATATTGAGGAATG